GTGCCAAAATGACGGCGTCCACAAGAAAATCGTGCAACGAAGGGCCGATACTCGAAGCGTAGCAATTGTTTAGTGGCTCTATTCTCGCTTTTACCTCAAAAAAAGAAAAAGAAAGAAACGCCGAGTTAAGTAGTTTTTACAAGATTTGGTTGTCAGAGGAAGAAGCGATGCTTTTGGTTTTTCAAATGTGTATATCTCGATAAGATAAGATACATCTAATCTCAAATGCACCTACATATCTCTTAATTCTTTATATAAAAGGGGAAATTCAAATTAGTAATACTCCGCGGGGAGCCGGACTTTTTTTACTACGGTTCTTGAGGGCGGCAGTGGACATCTTGTTAAGAGACCAGCTTCCTCGGAACGCCAAATCATCATTGGTACTTGGGAGAAAAAAGAAAACCCGTATACTCGTTGTCAGATAAGAAATAAAAAAAAACGCATTTATTGTGCGTTCTGTAAAGTAGTTCTTAGGAGGTTTGGTTGTCGAAGGAAGAAATGGTGCTCTTGGCGTTTGAAACGCGTACTTCTTGATAGAATATCATGGAGCTAATTTGCACCTACACATATGTCGATTTAACGCATGAAGGGAGAAATTAGTAGCGTTTTTTACTACGGTTTACGAGGTGATAACAAGTATAGCTGTTGAATGCCTGAGGGTGGCGGTCGATCTTTATTCAACAAAACTATCAGCTTTGCCTATCTTTCTGCTTTGACCTGAGGGAGTCATTTCACTTTCCATGCTGCCGACTTCCTTTCTTTTGCGATTTTATTCATGAATATTTGAGCAGCTGACAACGAGGTAGTTTAATGTTGAAACCTCGGTGCAAATAAAACTTGCCATCGAGTATTAGCCTTATAGCTGGTTCATAATACATGTGCGTCTGACTGATAACCACTGCATTGCAACCTCCTGTGGGCGCTTACGGCCAATTCATAATTTGTATGTGTAGTTTTTTTGTTTTTTTTTTTAATTTGGATATGTCGCAATGCTCACAACCTTTCCTCTGTTTTTTTTTTTTTGTATTTCTTTTGTTGCAATAGCAATCACCAATTTTCTAGCATTCTCTCGATAGTTTCCACTACGGTCCCCTTCACGTTCCGTTCGCCATCGTCGAAGAGTCGGCGCGTCGAACGGGCACAAAGCCGAGTACTCCTGCCTGTCCGAACTCGACTGGTTGCTATGTTTTGCAGGCGGACGCGCGGCAGTGCAATATGTTCGGTCCTTTCTTCCGCCCGGTTGTCCACGCTGGACCCTCTCGGGTGCTGGAGGACCCATGCACGGTACAGATAAGATCGAGGTTCGGATAAACGGCAGCCTTTATTCCGCCGCTGCTTCCACCACACACAGTTGCCAACTGCATCCTGGCAATGGACGAAATGCACCGTCTGGTCGTAGCGCCGGCGATACGCCCGCGTTCGTAGCGCTTCGACGCGTGCCTCGAAGTGCGGGCGGTTGCCCAGGCTGTTGTCATAGAGCGGAGTCTCTGCCGAGATTTCTCGCTTTCACTGAAAAACCATCATTAATCGACGTCATAAGCATTGTTCTCTGTCGTCGTAAGCAATTACAGGCGACTTCAATGCAGTTGTCAACACTCAAACGCAAATGTATAAACCATGGAGCCTTTACAACTTTAAGCGCCATCTGGAGGCTCAAAAAGCTGTTTCACTTTCGAAAAAGTAATGGCAGTCATGAAGCTGTATTACATCTCGGGCAGCGTCACACTTTTCGTGCTGACGTCTCGAACGTACAGGTCACACATTCCCCTGCTTGGCAGTACCTTCAACCTTCGTTTCATGAGCCTCAGGGAGACCAGCATTAGTTTGGCACCGATGCAAGCAGCACAGATTGGTGTCACTTAATAAGCTACGCTTCTGAGTAACGACACTTGCCATATTGTGTCTTAAGATTATGGTTGCCAGTTATCTGAAGCTTTATCCGAAATCACAGGAAACGCTTTCCCGTCCTCCACAAACATTTAAACGGATCGCGAGAAAGCGAAGCAATATTACACGAGCTTCGTAACACCGAATCTAATGCCGAGGATGTCGCACTCTTGGATCATGACGATCGGCAGTTGCGTCTGCTTTCCACTAAGCACCAAGATGGCGGCGCCCACAACATTGTCGGGGAACAGAGTGGCGACACTCTAGCTAATACCCGTGCCACACGGGCATCTCGAATGCCATTTACAACGAATGACATTTGAGCGGACGGCCAATCAGCGCGCGACACTCCGGGCGTGGCGCATTCCACCGGCGACAGATTGCGAGCTGATTCGCCGATCACACAAATGTCATTCGTTGTAAATGGCATTCAAGTTGCCTGTGTGGCACGGGTATTAGCCTAGCTCATTTAGTGACTCTAGGACAGATGTCCTACACTGAGGTGATGATAATGATCAATGCTTCAGACTGAATTTTGAAAACGGTTTATTCGAGGTGATGTGAGAAAAAAACAAAAAACAAAGCAAGAATAGAATCATAATTCGATCGCGCTTTTCTTTGAGAAAACTATTACGTACCGCGGCCCACAAAAAGAGCGGGAACACACACGACGTTTCTGCCACGGTCCCAGCATCGTCTCAACGTACCGTACATCAACGGGCGCAGTCCTTATCGTAGCCAGTACATTATTTTTACTTGTCCTCGCTGATATTGAAGACCCTAAATGCGAGTGGTATTTCCTTTGTTTTTCTTCATTTTCTATTTTAGTAATCTATTTTTAAGAATCGGATTCTCAGATGTCCGGTAATCTCAGAGGAAATGTCAGCGGGGTAGGGTACTTCGCCGTTCCCGCGTCGGTTCTAAAAATAAAACAGTGACAAATCTCCCCCTAAGAATAGTCGCCATGGAACGTATGGCTTTAGTTTTAAACTTGAAGCATTGATCGTCAAGGTTTTTGCTGAAACTGTTCAGAGAAAAAAAAAAAGAAAAAAAAAAGAAAATAATTTGCACCTATAAACTTCAGTATGTCTGCGTAACTATTTTTAAATTGTGAAACTGGAAACATTAAAATAATAAGCATTTTTCTTGTAAGTTTATTTACGGGGGGGGGGGGGTGGATACCTAATTTTTACATTTTTCATTAGGGCTGCTTCATGCTCATTTCACATGGCCAAAATATATCACCCTCTTTGGATGTGCCATTTACTGAAGATTTAGCCTGGAGAAGTTTGTATCAATGATCACGAGGACCTCAAACATTCAAACAGGAAACAAAAAAGCGGAAAATAGGGATACGCAATTTTATCGGTCGAGAGCACAATATCCGTTGCCGTGATATTGTGATACCTTCAGCAGCGTCCTCTGGACAGTATCTTCCTCTTCAGATCATACTGCTAGTTTTCCTCTTTACCTTACTATCATTATTTGCCTCTTAGTTCTCGGCAGTTCTTCTGCCATGGATGGCCTGCTACCCAAGTTAGCTCGCCCATAAACAACACGAGCTGCTAGCTATGATACAGTGGGACAGTGAAGTCTCAAAGAAGAAAGTTCTACCTATGCTCCAGGTGAATTTTATGTTCCTGAGACTCATAAAAAAAAAAGAAATGGAAAAACCTGGGCCGGCTCGCTCGAAGCAGAGTTGAGACTGCTCAAAGAAAGCGCTGTCAAGGCTAGCGCTCGAGCTTAAGCCGAGTCTCAGACGCTCGCGCGCCCGAGCCTTGGCAGCGCTTTCTTTGAGCAGTCTCAACTGAGACACTTCTTCTAGCAAGCCGGCCATACGGTAAGGGAAATGTATCATTTGACGCTTTGAAAGTGTAAAGACTTCATTCAGTGGTGTCTTATAAAATTTTACAACTAACCAGTTAAGGTACTTATAATCTGAAAAAAAGCTGACTCCTTCGTGACGTAAATATAATATTTTAAAATGTGCGTTCTTTGTGAGTGTTATTGCATTTCCCTAGAATGGCATTTTTCGCAATTAAATCTTACCATCTTGCGCTATGAGCATTCTACTTCACAATAAAGCAAACACTTTGTGGATTGCAATAATAAGTTTTTTTTTATATATATATTTCCTAACGAAGTTTATTTTTTCTGTAGCTTACGTTGTAGAATTAGCCTACAAGGCTGACTCTCCAGATGCGACCATTCCTAATAGTGTTCAATTCACTCAGAAAATTTGAATCAATTTAAATGAAGAGTTCGAAAATCGACCTCAGGCCGTATCCCGCCTTAACCTCGGTCTGTTTGTCTTCCTTTTTTTACGACGCCATTCAGTCCGATGCATGGATGAACGCAACGATATCCGCAGAGGCCGTGTTTGTTGATCAGAGATCACAATGTGTTTAGGACACGCTGCCCGGTTTTTTTTTTTTTTTTCAATGAACTCGTAGCAAGTGCTGTCACACGACTTCAAACCACAACGTTACCGACAATTGAATTTAAATAGATTAACAAAAGTGAGTAAGTACTTCTCTCAATGTCCGCTGTCCACATTACGTTCAGCAAAGTTACGTCAGCACTTTTTTATTTTTAGAAAAAAAAATGTAAATATGTGCATTAATTAGCACTTTATCTGCTTACGTTCAGCAATAATACGTCAGCGTCTTGAAAAAAAAAGAATATGTATTCTAATTATTACCTTATTTGCGTACGTTAGCAACGCAACAAATACGTCAGCCATTTTCGAGGAGATATTAGATACACTGATGAGGACTTTATTTCTTTTGGTCATACCGAATAGAGATGGATGAATCTGAAGCATGCATAACATACAGTGGGAACAGTCCTGTCGACACTCTCACAGTCACGCGCATTCGTCATAACACCCGCGAAGCGGCGAGAACGGGAGCTGCTCGACGCACCACAAGATGGAGCCAACCGCTCACAGCCACCGCGGCGTCGTGCCGTTGAGCGTTCGAAAACTCCCGACGATCACGTCTGTTCAACTCCATAAGAACTAGTAGATCCAACCACCACCGCGGCTCCGTAGACACCGTCCGGATGTCTCGCAAAAAGAAAAAAAAAGAAAAAAAAACGACACAGGCTTTTGACAGCGAGAGACCTCGGGACGTCCTGACGCGGCCGGCGGTGCTGCGCGGGAGAGCAGCGGTGCATTGCGGGAAAGCGAGCTTCGACGGGCGGGGGGAGTCCGCCTCCGCGCGCACCCGCTAGAGGCGGCGCGGTCGGCCCGCTCCGCGCGGGGCATCTCGGGATGGGCGTGCTCAACATGGCCGTGGCCGCTGGTCTCCGGCTCTGCCTGCCAAGGACGGCGGCGACCAACCCTCCGGTGAGCCTCTTTTGCCGGCCTCCTAGGAACCCCACTCCGAGCGCGAAAGAGGCCCCACTACTTCCGATCGGGGCCGCAACGGCCGCTGCGGGGGCCTTCGGTGCGAACGCGGAGGCCCACGCGACGCGCAGAGCGTAGGGCTCTCCTAGGCCTGCAGTTAGACAGCAGCGTCTGGACAGGAGCGGTGGCCCGCGCGGTTCGGGGTGGTTTCTCGTCTCTCTCTTCGTGCGGGCGGCGGAGCCGACTGAACCGCGGCCGCGAAGAGGACCCCGTTTGGCGGCTCGTCAACGGTGACTCATTCGCGTCGTTCAAACGCGTCGACTGCGGCACGAGAAGAGGGGAACGGCGGGCTCGACGCGCGCCAGCCGGAACGTGGGAAGGAGGAAAAAGAAAACAAAAAACGAGGGGTCCTAGTGTATGATGAGGACCGCCGGGGGTTCACCACGTGACCCGGGTAGTCGCGTGAGTGCGATCCCCACATCTTGATGGGACCGGTGGGCATAAAGGGTGGCAGAGAAGAAAAAAATAGCGAATTTCGGGATGCTGTGTTTGCGTGTGGTTTGAAACGGCGGATTTTAGGGATCGATTTTTCGGAGCGAGACGGTACCGGGCTTTGGCTCTGCGCCGTTCCTGTATATGGAAGTGCTCGATGCTTTAACAAGATCATTGACAAGAGGGGTTCTTCCGGAACAACCTCTCTGGTTCTACTCCGACGATCTTCCTCCTCGTCCTCATCTCCCTCTTCCTCCTCCTGCTTCCCGGTAACAAGCACCACCATCACCCATCGGGACCTTTCTTCTTCCTGCGTCGTCGGTCGCAGATTCTTACTCGAAAACCCGTTCCGCGAGTTCGCATCTCTTACTCGCTTTCGAATGCGATAGAAAATAGCAATAACGAAAACTCGACCGTCTTCGAGTTCCGTTTTTTAATGCAGAAAGGCAAAAAAGAGATGTTCATGGTGTCATCAATTATTCTCAGTTAGCCGCGTACACACTAATGGAGATTTTTAGTAGATTGTTCCGATAACGCCACGATACTCCGCCGGCGCCTTTGCGCATGCGTTATCCGCGTGTCGGAACTGTCGACTGCGAGCCACACCGCCCTCCTCCAACGCTGCAGATGATCTTCCGAACTTCTTCCGAAAAACAGTAGATATTTTTTTTTATTATTCGTTTATTGATACTGAGATCGGAGTCTGCTTCAAAATAAACAGGTGTCCAACCAGCCAGACGAACACCAAAGTTTTATCTGGCAACATAACAAAAATGTGTGTGTGTGTGTGTGTGTGTGTGTGTGTGTGTGTGTGTGTGTGTGTGTGTGTTTAGCGACTTGAGCAATTTTTAGATTTAGCGCATGTCCGTGATTCTCTTCTCGCATGCTGATGACTCCGAAGTGTGACAAATAATAGATCAGAAATCACACTTGTTCAACACAAGTTTAGGCGAAGAGAATTCACTGTAGCCTCGGCGATTTTGCCGGCGCATTATGACGGCTAACACCGAATCTAAAATGTATCACGCCGTGGCGATTACACCACCGCGTGTAAGCACAGTGTTATTCTAGATCGAAACGGACAGGGGCGGAAATGTAAAGGTCGTTGACAAAGTGTATTTATCGCGTCTGCCAACAGTGCTTGTTGTTTGTTCGCATGGTGTGGCGAGGCCCCGAGTGTGCCTCTGCCAGACAGCTGTAGGCGGTATTCATTGGACGCAATATTTGTAGGTCATTGATCGCAACGCACGTTCAGAACACGCTCCCATTTATCATGTGCCAAACACAACTATCTTGACCGATCTTGATTGGGTGGAACGCAATTCAAACTTGCATAATCGTACATGTCTCCCAGTCATGATCATCGTTCTTGGCAGATTATAAACGGTAGCTAGTTCGGAGCATGCGTTGCGAACAACAACCTACAACATCACGTCTAGTAAACACCCTTCATATATACTTTCCGGCGTTTATCACCCGGGGTGGAAGATGTTTATCAACGAAGACGGCATGTGTGCGTGCCTGTTTGTTTGTTTTCTAAATTTATTTGTTCCTATCTGTGTTTTTTTTTTTTATTACGACGTTTTGTACGTTCTATTTGCTGAGGAACGCGCCAGCGCGCTCCTGTTTGTCGAAACATGAGACCGTTGAATTACTGTCGCTTTGTGGTTGCCAAAGTTTCCAGACATTGTCTGCAAATAAACAAGACGTAGCTCGGCATTCTCAGAATAACGCGACGGTTGCATTCCGGTGTCGTTGGGGGGATGGGGGGTTATACGTAAACAAAGGGGAAAATGGGTTTAATGTCTAAGCGAACTATTATCCTCCTGCTCAGGGGAACAAATTCGCATGGGCAGAGGGGAGTGACCTCCGACTCAAATCTGCTCGGCGGGTCGCATCCCGTCGGCGTTTACAAACTCGTCTGCTCCAGAGCTGCACGCGCGTTTGTGGCTGCTTGCCATCGCTCTTTCTGCGCTCAAAGAGCAGACGACTCTTTCGTCAAAACGGCCAAATCCGTCTGCTCTAAACGAGGGATGTTTTGTTCGCGAACGCGGGCGCATTTCTTGTTCTCTGTGTCATGCTCAAGTTCATTATCCACCATTAGGTTTTGTATGTCTTCTTGCTTTTTAAGGTTAATGGAACTGTTTCTTGTTGGTGGGCGCTCCCAGCTCTCGCCTGTCACCCGAATCAAAGTTTTGTATAAAGGTATTTCGTCACCTTTAATTGGCATGTTCAATCATTTAAACTATAAAAAAATTTAAATATAAAAAACTCTGCTTTTCTATTCTGGTGAAGAAGGAAGACTAGCGAAGCTGTACTATGGTGGGAATGAAGTAATGGCCGGCCGCAAGTCGGCAAGCCAGAGTGGAAAGGCTGGAAAGGTTGCCGCCATCTATGTGTGACGGCGGCGACCAGTCAACCAGCAAGTCGGTTGTCTGGTAGCCGCCGTCGCTCTTAGATGACGGCAGCTGTCCAGAGTTTTTGAAAAACCGGTTTTCTGGTTGCCGCCGTCGCTTATAGATGGCGGTAGCTGTCCAGAGTTTTGTGTCATCATTTCTTTGCTGACGGACATGATGCTGGGGAAACTAGCAACAGCTCCACTGTAAAAGTCTTAGCAATGTCAGATCTATAATAGGATATGTAAATTTCTTTTCTGTTTTTGTTTTAGTTTGGTGTCGTGTGCGTATAATGTTAGTGTGTTTGATCGGTGTGCGTACGTTTCTTTTTCATCTGTGTTGCGATGCACCACTGAGAAGGCACGTTGCTGTTGGTGGGAATCGATAACATAAACGCATATCTTTCCGAAGCACACCGAAGAGACCAGTCGCCATTTCAAGTCGAACCAACTTTCCGCCGTCTAAACCTCGATTTATCCATTTTGATGTTTTGGTTTTATTGGAAACATTTCTGCGCACGTCATAAAGACAAATTATTGAAACGTTCCACCCTTCGTCACGGTAAATCGATCGTCAAGCGAACAACGCCGTCAATAAACCGTCCCACTGTTTACAAAAAGAAAAAAAAAAAGTCTAGCATGCGGTGAAAGCAGTCTGACGACGCGAGCGTGACCTACTTTCATACTCTCCTATACATATACTGCCCCGCAGGGCACTTGGAACGGCAATAATTTTGAATCAGTTTAACCAATCAAAAAAGCATACAGAGCAAGCGGAGAAAAGGCAGGCGTCCCTTATAACGCCCTCCCCCATTTCTTTTTTTCTTTCGTAAGAGCGCATAGTGATTGGAGTATGATAGTGATCGCGTTTTTCGCTCGACTAATCCGATTAACGAAAGAGCAATGAATGTTGTTTCGGAATTCATCGCGGTGCTGTAAATACACTCGGAGGGGTCTGCGGATACGAAGACTAAAAGGCCCGTGGACACACTCGCGCCTGCTTACGACCGGAGAATGCGAAAAACCGGTTCATGGGAATTTCGTGGCAGGGACCGGCTCCGCAGCGAGGCAGCCGATGGGAAGCCGTCAACCAGAAGAGGCTTAAAAACCGGTCGTGTCGAGGTCGGTCGTATGTGGTCAGACGCGCGTGTGTGAACGGGCCTTTGTCCGGTTCACACCGAGTCCGACCACGACCCAATCAGGCCGTACCAAAAAAGCGCATAGTCACGGCGCTTCGTGCCTTTACCGGCCAAATCAATCGCACGAACGAAATGCGCTGAATCCTGCACTTTCTTTTTTTTTTTTTTTTTTGCGCTTGAAGGGTTTAGGAAACTTACAATGACGACGAGCAAATTAACAATGTATATTAATCCCGAAAAAAAAAAAAAAGAACAGAAGGACAGCGACAAAATTGCGGAAAAAAAGAATCGAAATATAGCGGACGAAAGGTTATGCGTGTTCGTTTTTCGCGCTGAGATGAGTCGAGGTTGTTCGAGCGCTCGTTCCACTTTATTTATTTTCGATACGATACAAGACGCCCGGTGTTTTCGTGCACAACGATGTTAGAGAACGACTAGGCACAGACTATAATGCAATTAAATGCAAAGGTGCAGGCGAGTCGGACAAGAATGACGAAAAGAATCCCTGGGGACCTTAAAAGGCAGTGTTGGCGGTGACGCGTTAACTTCTTTGCGGTAACGCGTTACGGACTCGTTACATTTTCAAACCAGTCACGGGTAACGCGTACTTACCTTACTTATTTCGAGTCACGGGTAACGGAGTTACGTTACTCGTTACATAACCTTCCCGAGACTTAAAAAAGAAAAGATACACTTCAATTGTTTTGTTGTTGTTTCGAGGCACCAAGCCATGTGAATTTCTTAGTTTCGGGCGTTTTTCTTGACGTTTTTTCTCGTGAGTATTCAGGTGACAGTGTAAAAAGGATAAGGTAATTATGTTCAGTTTCTACACGGACATAATGTTTCTTGAAATATGGCGCTTACGCGTCCCATTCAACGTCGAAACAGTAAAACGTGCTAATTCATAGATTTAAAAAAAAAAAGTAAGGCAAGAGTAACGTTTCTATAACTGTAACGCGTTCCTTTTAATTTGA